TTTTTTGAATCAGAATATTACAGAGAAAATGGATGAAAATTTTAATTGTTAACAGACTGTATGTATGTCAAAATTTTGTTGAAATGAAATAATAATACGTTCTGTCATAATTTTTAAGATTTATTATATTGTTTTGATTGCCAATATATATTTGAAATTTGTAAGTTTGTAAAGGTATCGATGATTCATTAGATTATTTTATTTTACTTTCATGTAAAATAAAATTTTGCCTTACAACTAAGAAATGGAATTTAAATAGAAATTTGCCTCTTTAAATGTCGTAATGTACATTTTTGCGCATTAAAATTATCAACGCATTAACATCCACAATTTCACAGATAGGATAGTCACGGATTATTTTATTAGAATGACACCTATTAATCTATTAATGACACATACATTGGATCTTTATTTATCAGAATGAGGTATCGTAAAATATCTCAAACTACGAGAAACGAAGAAGGCACAGAAAGCGAAATGAGCGAATCTCTCTAAAATTTCAACCCGACTTTCGTTTGACGTTCGCGGCGATTTTAATTTCTTGTTATCCCCCCAGCGTGGAGGTGAAAGAGACGAGGAAGAAGGTATTAGCCGGCGATTCAGGCCGAGACTAACGCGCACTTTTCCTCGACAGCTACGTTTCTCTCGTTGGCGCTTCGACGCGGATGATTTCTTCGTCCGCCACGCGTTTCTTCCTCCATCATACTTACTCTACGTTTGGGCCAACACGATTGGACGACAAAATCGCCAATTCATCGACGGTAAAATTATTATATACATATATATATATATATATATAACTTTTTCAATATCACCGCGACTATCTTCGAATTAATCGGAAAGTTATGCCTTCAAACTGTATACAACGCCATAAAAATAATTTTCTCAGAATTTAACTTGAAGTCTCTACTTTTATCTATCCATTTGAATTCAGAAAAAAAAAAAAATCATTAAATTTATAATTCAAACAGTTGTGGAGGGGCACGGTATATAAGTTGGCCTTCCAAAGGGAATTACTTTACTAGGGGCGAGCATCCGGCAATAAACGTTACTCCGTGCGTAATTTCACCAAGACGAATTCGCGAAATTTTACCGTGTGCGCCTCCACTTCTGCGGAGGCAAGGGAAACGATGACTCGACTAACCCCGTCGGAACGAGTATACGCGTTGGTTTGACGGGGGAAGCCGTGGCCGTGTCGTTTCGACTCGATTAGAATCGAGAGGAGTAGCGGTGGCCGGTTCCGCGACCGGTTGCCATGCCGAACGAGCCTGCTCCAAGTGCCAGAAACCGTGAAGGAGGCCTCTCGTGATCGGGACTTTCCAAGGACACGAGGGTGCGTCGATTCGTGCGAGTGGTGCGTGCGTGCCGCTCACGTTTTCCTTTCCACGGCGAAAATCACACGCGCGCGCTTACCAAGAGAAAGAAAAATCCGCGGCGCTGTGCCAGCGAAATCGGCCGCCACGTTCCATATAACACACACCGGCTTATTACGCCAATTTCCCTGTCGTGAGTTTTTTCTTTCTCTTTCTCTATCTCTGTCTCTGCTCGACACGGGCGAGCCCCAGCTTTCTTTATTCCGTGATCGAAACCCGGCCAGCGTTGTAATAATTAAAAACAAACTATGATCGACGTGGTTTTTATCGTGCGAGACGATCATCTTTTCTAAAAAAAAAAAAAATGACTCGTAATCGGGAGGAAATTAGTTCCATTGGAAACAAATTTTCTCTCTTTCTTTCTTTCTTGCCTACGAATTAACGACAATTCATTCGATATTACAGATTAATTACAGATCAATTCAAAAAAAAAAAGCGAGAAATCTCGTTTCCATCGCTGAACGACGACTTAACGATACTTATATACATCGAAAAAGGTATCGTATATATATATATATAATCACCGTACGAAATATTCCTTTTTTACCATTGTGTAGTACGAGCGAGGAAGAAACGAGCTTACAAATAGCTCAATCTTGGTTTAAGGAACACGAAAAGCAGAAAAAGGGAGGAGGAAGAAAAAGGAAGAGAAGGAGATGAAGGAGAGGAGTAGGGGGAGCGGCATTAGGAGGAGGAAACGGAGGGTAGACGAGGAGGACTCGCACGAAGACGAAGAAGAAGAAGAAGAATCCCCCTTGGCTCACGTCCGCGAGAACCGGAAAGATTCCCTCGATCCGCTACGAACGGCTTCCAAGGTCCGCACTCCGTATTCGAACGAGCGCGAACACACGTTCACGGTTGTGCACACACTCTCCTCGTCGACACACGGGTGCGCTGCATACATACATACATACATACATTTGCGCATGCGTACGGTTGGGGAGGAGGAGGGAAAAGGACGGAGAGGTTAGGAATATAACGTGGAGTGGCGGAGCACTCACTCGCGCCCTCTCACACGCGTGCTTTAGACGCACGTCCGGCCAAACGAGCCGCGAGGTTATTGTTTAAAGCGTTCCCCTTTATTGTGTCTACAATGTGCTCGGTCACACGCGGCCGGAACAGCCAGCCGCCACGCTGCGGCGGCCCTCCTCTTCGTCGCGTTAAACGATCTTTTATTTTTTTTTCTCTCCTTTCTTTCTTTCTTTCTTTCTTTCTTTCTCCATTTTATTATTCCATTCGGTTGCTGCACCTCGCGCTACCGCTCCCTGGGCGTTGCCCGCTTCCCTCCAAACGATGATCCATCAAACCGATTCTCTCCTTCCCCCATCGATTTAAAAATCACCCGATGCTCCTTATATTTATTTCTCCTTATATCCGATTAATGTTGTACGATTCGAACCAACTTTCTCTTCTTCCTTCTTTCAGGCTCAAAAGTTCTCACGGGATTCTCCCCGTGAAGATCGATTCATCGAAGCTCGCCAACAACCGTCAACGGATAAGTCATTCGCGCGGCATTTACGCTTGGGAATAATTCGCGGCCGTAAACGTTTTATCGAGGCCGCATCTCGCGAGCTAGGCGCGCACCTGCGCGCGCTCCTCCAGACGACCGAAGAGGAGGAGGACGTGGTGCAGGAGTTCCTGCTCACCGAGAGAGAGAGAGAGAGAGTATATTTCCAACCGTGCGGATAACACACTGAGGCAGGTCCGGGGCGCTCGATTATCGCTACGAACGTCCTTATCGCG